ACGTGGAAACCCCTGCCAGCACTGAGATGCTTACAGTGCCACTGGATCCACAAGACTTCCCACCCACTGGCCTGCGATCTTCTTGCATTCAGCATCATTGCATGTGTTTTGCAAGTCTGAAGAGGACATTATAGATTGGTATCAGACATGTGGGCTAATATCAGATTTATGTACTTGATCTGGACTGGGCTGGGATGTTTTCTTAATATTCTCAATATTCAATTGCTCTTATATATAAAACCTCTTTCTCATACACATATGAGTGGCTCTATGAATTTGTTTCTCTAGTCTACCCAGACTAACAGTCTGTAGTAGGAATCAGAATTGCTTTTAATGATTTTAAATTCCCAAATATTCCTGTGTTTCTGTGGATGAAACTTGATGCTCACTGGACCACATGAGGCCTGGACTTTTATTTGGGTTACATTATCAGTTTTCATCTGAATGATACCTTACATTCACCCACTCCACCCTACCCTTTTCTTTCCTGCAGTTACTTGTAGCGAACTAATTATTTTTCTCACAACAATTTCTAACTACTCTGTTTTCATCCCTTCCCTCAAATCCTAGCTATGAGCGCTGACAATCAGATGCCCAATTTTCTCCTTCTTTGACAAAAGAAGCTTTAGATGTTTGTCGCTCTGTTTTTTTATGAGTCCACTAACAAGTATTGTGAGGCAACAGATGGGCACGGGAACCGTGACACTGAAGGAGGCGTTGACATTGCGCTCTTTGGTCTACAGAACTGGTCTTTGCTGAGGCGATGAAACACGACAACCCCAGACGCAGGGTCAAGGGGCTTCTGATGACATCTCTCTCTGCTGCCCACATTGTACCGCGAGGCCACTTAGAGGAAACTTCTGTTGCTATTCTTCTCTGACGGAATACTTTCTAGTCAAAAATCACAAAATCACTTCGCCAATGGTATAATGACTTGCCTTGCAGAAGACCTTTATCAAGTTAAGATTTAATAGTTACTTAAACCCTAGGATTTCCTCTAACTTCTCTTCACAGGCAGACATACAAAAAGAATGACTGAAGAAAGCCCTGGTGTGTGTGTAAGGTGGGACCGGGAGGGTGCTGGGGTATAAGGTGGGGCAGGGAGGGTGCTGGGGTATGAGGTGGGTGCTGGGGTGGGGTGGGAAGAGACCAAAGGGAAAGAATAAAAGCACCTATACCATTCGTTTTCGTAGAATTACGCAATTATCCAGAGCCCTTTGGATGGGGTCTCTATTAGTTACATTTCCTCTACCTAGTGATTGCCAAGTTTTCCATTTGAAATTAGTAGTTACCGTGATTTCTGAAAAGGTTCGGTTTTGTGGACATACAGAACTTAATTAGTAGTCTTTGGTGAGTGGAAAATAATACTAGAAATGGGAAGCTCTCTGGAACGATCGCCGTGATATGGTGCTTTCCTGCACTCAATCAAAGCTTACCACTCAGGACCTTAACCATCACAGATAGCCAGCCTCCTGATGCTGGTACATGGTGGCAAAAATCTCACACTGCATTTTTACTGGAAAGTCATGGGCATGAAGGTTGATGCTCACTCTTCAGCGCACGAGAGAACAAGAGGTGAGTATGGAAGCATCAATTTACCAATTCCTACAGAGTGTACACAGGGGTTGCTAGGAATCTTGCTGACATTGCCTTCCAGGAGAAGCGATGCCGTTGCCCCAAGAGTCTACTGCTTTCTTGCCTCCACTCACCTGTGGACACAGTGCTTCTCTAGTCCCTCCAAAAGACAGCCAATCACCAGCATAAAACTCTGGACTTAAAAAAGAAAACTTGCAGAATGGCCATGTCACGTGTCTTTCCTTAAGTCAAAAAATGAATCAAGTGCCCAAAAGAATCTGCGAGAGTACCACTTCTTTTGAATGCTGGACAGGGTAGAACCGTCCCTGTGAGTTTCTGAGACCGTAACTCTTAAGGGGAGTAGAAAGCCCTGTCTTTCTCCCACGAAGCAGCTGGTGAGTTCAAACTGCAGACCTTGCAGTTAGCAGCCCAATGCTGTAACCACGCCACCAGGGCTCCTCCTAAGGATACCAGATGCTGTATCCTTATGAGATATGAGGTACTATGAGATAAGAGGTACTAGAACAATTGAGATAAGAGGTACTAGAACAATTCTAAACGGATCATCTCTCCGATTTGTGTCCCTGGTCTTTTGGAGTTACACAAGGTCCAACAGCCCAGCCCTTCTCTGCCTGCCAACGTTCAGGTAAATAAGCACAGCTCTGGGGACGGGCTGGGGGAGAGGTAGTACAGTGTCCCGGCTGCCACTTTCCTTTCGGAGGATTCTGAGGCCCACACTGTGGGAAGAGACTAGAGGAAAATAAAGCATTGTGTTTAGCAAAGATGAGAGTCGATACGACTTAGCCCTGTTACTTCAGATATGGCATCTTCCACGAACAGCTGGCAAGTTCTTTAAAGCACAGTTCAAAAGCTGTAATTGCTGAACAGCGCTTCGAGAGAGTTTACAGAAATGATAGAGCTTTCCAGCAGATTATTAACATAATCATCTCATTTATATTATAGTCGAATGCCGAAGATGTCTCCCCACTTGACACTTTACGAAACAGGTAGTTAATTACTGTAGGTAGCGCAGCATTTAACCCGAAGCCTTCCCAGCAGGCATCTGCCATGATGCAGAAAGCTCGAGAAAGAAGATAAGGAGCAGCCGCGGGAATAAGCGAGGCACGTGGGGAGTGGGGCAGTGGTACCGAAACCCAAGCCGGGGGAAATGAAATCAGAACCAGGCCAGGGTGAGATTTTCCTAGCGGCCGTGGGACTGTGCTCTTACCAGTTCTTCGTAGTTACTGGATTTATTCCCGGTGTAGCCATACGGAGTGAGAATGAGCTGCCCGAACGAGTGGATGGTGAGGAAGCACACGATGTGCTCCTTCTGGCTCTCTATGAAGCTGGAAACCGCTCTTGTCTCGGGTTCAGACGCAGGTCCTGTCCCACAGAATGTTAAGTCCTGGCAGTTTTTGGAGGCACCAATACCTGGAATGGACAGGAAACCAGAAGGTGGGCAGCGCGAGCTGAGCTGGCACGCGCTGAGGGCAAGGCGTCGATGCCTGGCGTTTCTGCAGAGGGAGGCTGGACGCGCCTCTTCTTGTCCGGGTCAGTCCTGGCTCACTGACGACGGTCATTCCAAGAGGGGATCGTGGAGGCATGGAAAGGCAGGTGGACGGATGGTTGGATTTCGAAACACACCCATGCTTCCATGGCCCAGGCAGGAGGGTGCCTGATGAAATGGCCGGGCTCATTTTCTTTTTCTGGTTTCAGAGTGGGGAAAAGCTGCGCTCTGGAGTTTGGATTTGTTTGTGTATTTATAGTTCATTGTGATGTAATATAAGGAGCCCTGTGTGTCGAGCGGGTTATGCATTGGTTAACCACAGGGTCCGTAGTTGAAACCCACCAGCTTCGTTGGGGGCGACAAACGAGGCTGCCTGCTCCCATGAAGGCTGACAGTCTTAGAAACCCCGGGGAGGCATCTGTCCCACGAGGCCACTATGGATCTGCAATGGCCGTGGGTGGATTGAGGGCATATTCTATAACGGAATTTTTCCATGGTCACGTCTTGTTTTTTGTTTAATTCTGTATTGTGGTGACGTATGGAGAGGAGAACACCGGCCGCTTGCGTCATTCGCCCATGTAAAATTCCAGGGCATGAATGATGTTCACCGTGTGGTAGAACGATTTTCGATTTCTAGTTCTGAAACATTTTAATCCAAGCAGAAACACAATATCTTCCCAGCAATAACTTCTCCTCGCTCCTTCTCCTGCATCCCCCCAAAACCAAACACACTGCTATCCAGTCAATCTGACTCATAGCAGCCCAGCTGGTGACCCCCCACTCCACCAGGGCTCCTTCCCACAGCACCTAGCAAGCACGATCCCATTTTGTCCTGTAACACTGGCCTACCCCCCATCTTTTGTATGTGTCAGCTTACAGTGGCTACCCAGCTTGGGTTCGACTTATGTAACCTAGAATGATGTTTTCAAGACCCATGCTTGTTGTGATCTCATTTCTCTATATAGCTAGATATGGGTGCTTCATAGACACCAGATTTCGTTTATCAATTTAGTTCAGCCATCTTTTACTTTACATCTTCCAAGCCTGCGGTGAGTCCTGAAACAAATGATTGGGATCCAGTGCTCGAGGTTCTAGATCAGAATGTCACATGGTCATAATGACTGAATCCTAAGCTCCCCCCCCCCACTCTGGGCCCCTTGACGGTCTTTACTGGCTTGAATCTGAATTGAACTATTTTGCAAGAACATAAATGAACTGTCATATGCATGGACACTAATATGACTCCTCAGTGGGTAGGCACCGTGCTCACCCTGTCCTCCTGGATCTCATTTCACCCCCACAACGACCCATCCCTGAGCTGGTGTGACCTGGCCCACGTTTTGAAGAAGAGAAAGTCAAGTAGATTGCTGAAGCAGTCTTTCCAAGGCTACACCATTGCTTTGTTGGATTTTAAACCTTGCTGTCTGGTTTTTAATTAGGCTGTTCTTGCCCATTCACTTCTTCTACTTGCTCCCAATTCCTTGGGCTTGGCGAGATTCTGGAGCATAAAATTCCTTATGGGAAGTATGGAAAATGTTTGGCTTGTTTACTGATTGTCCCTTCTTGCAAAATGATTTGCAAGGGTAACTGATTTTTCTTTTTTCTGTGACAATTCACATGTTTAGGAGCAAAGTGATGGATTTCACGTGATGGATAGTTACATTGGCCTAAGTTTACTTCAACCTGTGCATCCATCCTTGCTGAGGACGGACCGTCCTTACACCGGAGCACTGCTGGGCCCACAGCACAGATACAGTCACCATTGCAGGGAAGCAAGGCTGGTCAGGAGGGCTACAAGATTGTACGGAAGATTTCCCCCCAAAATAAAGATATTTCCGGTAATTTACCTCTTTCCTTCCTTCCCTGCTTTATTTCATTTTCTAAACAGGTTAGTTTCATTTACTAAACATGTACTTACTACACCAAGATGCATCGAAATTCCGATTGAGATCTGTCCCAAAGCAGGTGCCATTATTATGGGGTGACCGGGATTTCCTCCAAAGACGGTCCTGTAACCGAGCAACACAGGGATGGAGGCATTCTAAGTTCTCATCAATCACAGCGCTCTTGATGGTGGGCGATTCTCATTCAAGAAAAAGTTTTCTTAACATTGTCTGGCTGGAAGAACTTGCCTTTAACGTGATTAAGTTTGTGCATGTAAATTTTAACCTGGCAGATGGGCTGGCAATCCCTAATAACAGGAACATCTGTACAGCCCAAAGTGTACCCCGTGCATGTAAAATCAAGCCAGAAGGAGTCAGTTAGCCTTTTCTTCACACGCAGATTAGCACTGCCTGTGGACATGTTCTGCTTCATCAGGGAATGCTGCAGAGAGGACGTTTTTTAGATCCAAGTGATCCAGGATGAAAGAAATAGCTTGGCAGATGGAAAAAGTGTTCCAGGTGGACCAGATATGGTCTCTGCACATTTCTGGAAGCAGTAGAATGATGAATGGAGATGAGGCTAGAGACAAGGGTTATCTGACAAGCATGGAAGAAGAAGGGACAGATTTCAAACAAGAGACCAGCGAGGCTGTTTCCTAGATGGGGCTTTCTGGGAATGGTGGGGATAAGGAGGACTTACGATGTCTTAGGACACAGGGACTCTTATTTGTCCCTTATTTGACTCGAGAAAAGATGTTAAAAAGCATACCAGCACATCAAAGAATTATCATTAATTACAATTTATGATCAGAGGAGGGATTGTATCAGAATTTAAATTCTGATAACCCTCATTTGCAAAAGGGTATGGATGTCAGTGGCAGCTGCCATTTGCAAATCCATTTGTAGTGAGTGCTCCCATTGATTAAGCCTCCATTGAATGCTCCCTGATCATTAACCAAGGATGTAGATAGTCATTCCCTCCGGGAGAATGCCCTCAGGAGAGTAGATTGCCTCTAACATTCTCTGGCCAGCCCAGTGATGGTCAGTCTCTATGTTAGGGGGTCATCTAGATATATCCTTGATGGTCTAGATGTGTCCTTGATGGAGGTCACTGTACTGAGGAACAGGGGATGGCATGGTCATGAGTCATGTCCTATCAGTTTGGTCCTGTCTTGGTCTGAAGGCCCCGAACCAATCTTGTCCCAATTAAGGTCCCGTCCCCGCTTTTGTAGTCCCACCTACTACTGTGGTTTACTGATCTGTTACTAATCTTGCTTCTGTGACAGTGTTCTCACAGAGACAACCCCCCCCCCTTATCTTGACTCTCAATTATGAATTACTAAACAGGACGCCATTTCAAGCTCGTGTTAATTACCTCCCTTATCTGGATGATGGGTCTGTTGTCCTTGTCTCTTTTAAGACTTAATAAAAGTTCTCTTTAAATAAAAACAAAAGAGAAAGTTTTCCACTGAATTAAGATACTTTTATGATATCTTCCCTGCATGAATGATCACATTAAAAAGTGAACATCACTTATTTTTTCTCCCACTTTTAGAACTGATTTTAAGTGGACACAGATTAATATATGGATTTTATATCAATATATTCTTGATAGAGTTAGAGACAGTCCACACATTTAAAGAGATAGAGGACTAAAAAAAAATCAAGTCTACTTAGAAAACTGGGACTATGCTTAGCAAAATGAAATTTTAAAGTGTGCTGGATTTCAACTCTAAATAGGCCCATAAAAAAGCACTCCTCATAGGGTAGACTCTAACTCATGGAGACCCACGTGTGTCAGTCAGAGTAAACTGTGGGCCCCTGGGTTTTCAACGGCTGAGAAAGTAGTTTGCCAGGCCCTTCTTCCGAGGTACTTCTGGGTAGACTTGAACCTGCAACCTTTTAGTTAGCTGTCTAATGCACTAATCATTTGTACCTCCCAGGGATTCCTTAAGAGGCCTTACAAGTTATTATCAAGTCAATTCCAACTCATGGCGACCGCCTCAATCCTAAACTTTATTTGGCCTTGCAGACCTGGTTGGACTAGATGATGCACAGCGGTACAGACGGGAATTGGGAACGCAGGGAATCTAGGACAGAGGAACCTCTCAGGACCAGGGGTGACAGTGGCGATACCAGAAGGGAAAGGGGATGTAGTAGGGGGGAATGGATCACAGGGAGCTACGTGTGGCCTCCTCTCTGGGGGACGGGCAGCGGAGGGGTGGGTGAAGGGAGACGCCGGACAGTGTAATATAAGATACAATAATAATTTATAAATTATTAGGGGTGCATAGGGGAGAGGGGAGGAGGAAGGGAAGGGGAGGGGGGAAAAACGGAAAATTAGAGGCTAGCGAATTTTGGGAATGATGAGGGCAACAAATGTATAGATGTGCTTTACACAATTGATCTATGTATTGTGATGAATTGTATGAGCCCCAATTAAAAAAAAAAAAAAGAGATCATTAAGTTGATATTCATACCAAATGGGATTTTTTTTTTCTTTATAGAAGTATAAACATTAATTCATGAACTCATCCCACTATCAAATTCTGGGTACTCACAGTGGTCCACGTGTAGATGTAGCCGTCTACGTTAAGAACTGGGAGCACGTAGAGATCCAGATTCCTAAGGAGTCTGCTAATCCTTGAGTTGTCTTTGTAGTTTTGTAAAATCTGGAAACGTAAGAGATAAACAAATTAGGAATGACCTTGAGAGAACTTTTTCTCAATTTCCTAACAATTTCAACTGAATTATAAGACGTAACTATATGTTCAAGTCCTAAACCCTAACTCTACCTCAGTCGCCTCATTCTTTATGGTTGTTGTCCTGTGCCTTCCAGTGGTCCCAACTCTCGCAGCAACCCTGTATAAGAGAGTACAACTGTCCCATAGGGATTTTTTAGGCTGGAAGCATTTGGGGAACAGATTGCCAAGTATCATCTCTCACAGAACTGCTGGGTGAATTAGAATTGCCAGCATTTATAGGTAAGCCTTAGCCATTGTGCGCGAGTGCTCTTTATCCTTTATGGTTGTTGTTGATAGGTGTTGTCTAGTCAGTTCCCACTAAGAGTGACTTCCTAAGCAACAGAATGAAACAATTCCCAGTCCTGCACCATCTTCACAATCGCTGCTGTGGTTGAGCCATTGCTGCATCCATCGTGCCAATCCATCTCTCTGAGAACTTTTACTCTTTTTCAATGGCGGTCTAGCCAAGCATGCTGTCCTTCTCCAAGGACTGGGCCCTGCAGATAACTTGTCCAAAGAACATAAGATGAAGTCTCACCATCCTTGCTTCTAAGGAGAATTCTGGCTGGCTGTTTTCCAAGACAGATTTGTTGGTTATTCTAGCAGACTCTAGCCTGCAATTACTTTTCATGTATTTCGTTATCTGACATTTTGCACTTTCAGCAACAGTGGGGGGGAAATCTATTATCTGTATTGTGCATTAACAGCCTACTGTCTGGCAGTAACAAATATTGAGGTATAAGGCTAAAATAAAATTGACCGTGATGGTTAATGTTATATGTGAACTTGGCTCCACTTGTATTCTCAGTGGCTTTGCAGGTATGTAATGATGTAGCCATTCTCCCTTTTGTGATCTCATGTGGTCATCCTCTATTTTAGGAGAATGTTGATATTTGGATAGGGACCTGGTATTTGAAACCAAACTGTGTGAAGTGAGGAGTACGTGTGTTCCATACTCTTCTTTAACACCATAATCCAAATGAATCAATTCTTCTTTGGTTATTTTATTCATGGTCCAGCTTGTGCATTCATAAGGGGCAATGGAATAGTCCGTGGCTTGAGTCAGGTACCTTTGAGTCCTCAAAGTCATCGCTTTGCTTTTTGACACCTTAAGGAGGATTTGGCAGCAGATTCACTCAATGCAGTACATCATTTGATGGCTTGCCTGCTGCTTTCAGGAGGTTGATTGTGGATCCGAATAAAACTAAACACGTGACAACTTTAATCTTGATGTTTATCATGATGTTTATTGGTCCAGTTGTGAAGAATTCTGGTTCATTTTTACCTGGAGATGCATTCCATAATGAATGTCGACTTTGACCTGCATTGGTAAGCCCTGGAGATCCTCTTTACTTTCAGCAAGGTGGGGTCATCGATGTAGCACCGGTTGTTAATGGGGCTTCCTCTAATTCAGACGCCACATTCTTCTTTGTATAGTCCAGCTTGTTGAATTATTTGCTCAGTGTACAGGTTGAATAAGTACCGTAGAAGGATACAATCCTGGTATACACCTTTCTTGATTTTAAACCACTCAGTAACCTCTTGTTCTATTCAAATCACTGCCTATTGTTCTGTGTACGGTTCCTGCATGGGCATAACGCATTGTTCTGGACTTTCCTTTCTTAGCATAATTTGTTATGACTCACAAGTCAAATGCCTTTGCATTGTCAGTAAAACATAGGTAATAATCCTGTAGGGCAGTTCCACTTTTCCCCCAAAGAATCCATCTGCATCAGAATTAACTTGATGGCAAGGAGTTTGGTTTAAATTTAAACGTTTTTCTGGTATTCTTCGATTTTAGCGTGGATGCATCTGGCATCAGCAGTTACACCCATTGTTCCACATACTCTTCTGAATTTGAATGTCTGGCAGTTGATGTTGTACAAACCCCACCGGAGCCCTTCTCCTCTAGCAGTTGGACTTGACTTGATGGTAATGAGTTCTGAGCTTGGGTTGGATCGCCTTTCTTTGGAAGAAGCATGAATATAGATCTCTCCTCATTGGTTAAGCTCTATATTTCTTGTCACAGGTGATTGCTGCAAACCATGCACGTTAACGTGCATAATTTGTTAAAACAACTCAACTGGTATTCTGTCAATACCTGGATCCTTTTTTTTTTTTTTAACCAATACCTTTACTTCAGCTTGAACTTCCTTCTTTAATATCACTGGTTCTTGATAATATGCTACCTTCTGAAATGGTTGAATGTTGACCAAATTTTTTTTGACAATGCCTGTGTATTCTTTCCATCTTGTCTATGCTTCCTGAGTTAATATTTTGCCCATGTTGTTGTTATTGTTCGGTGGCGTTGCGTCATTTCCAACTCATGGCACCCTTCTGCACAGAAGAACAAAACACTCCCGGGTCTGCGCCATAGTCACAATTGTTGCTGTGCTCCATTGCACTGCTGCGGTCACTGAGTTAACCCGTGTCATTGAAGGTCTTCCCTCTCCTTCACTGGCCGTTCCCTTTACCAGGCATGATTCTCTTTCCAGGGACTGATCTCTGCTGATAACATGTCCAAAAGCATGTGAGCCGAAGTCTTGCCATCCTTGCTTCTAAGGAGCCTTCTGCTGCCCTTCCTCCAACACAGATTTGTTTGTTATCCTACTGCCTACGGAACTGTCAGTATTCCTCCTCAACACCGTCCTGCAAATGCAGCGCTTCTTCAGCCTTCCTGTTCAAAGTCCAGCTTTCGTACGCGTACGAGGCAATTGAAAATATCATAGTTGGGTCAGGTGCACCTTTGTCCTCAAAATCACCTCTTTGCTCTTTAATACTTTAAAGAAGCCTTGGGAAGCAGATTTTCTCAATGCAATAAGTCACTTGATTCCTTGACGGCTGCTTTCATGAGCACTGATTGTGGAGCATCCGAGTACAGTGATTTTCTTAACAACTTTAATCTCCTCTCCATTTATCATCTATTGTCTGTTGGTCCACTTGTGAGGATTTTTGTTTTCTTTATATTGAGTTGAAATCTATACGGAAGGCGGAAACTTTGAATTTTCCCCATAAAATTCTGTAGTAATGCAATATGAGGCTTGAAGCTTGTCTTTGGTTCCTTGACAAGTGCCAAGCATGTTCTTCTTTCTCGCCTTCCTAATTCCATGTCTTTGCACACGTCATTATAAAGCTTTGCTGTTTTCTCAAGCTCTCGATTGAAATCTTTTGTTGTTATTTTACTTCCTCATATTTTCTGCTGCTTTAGCTGCTCTACGTTCAAGAGCAAGCGTTTCAGAGTGTCTTCTGACACCCATCTCGATCTTTTCTGTCTTCTTAAATGACCTTTTTGCTTTCTTCACTTAGCATCACATTGGCATCATCCCACAATCACCTGCTGTTTGATCATCGGTGTTCAATGCATCAAATCCATTTCTTGACATATCCCCTAAATTCAAATGGGATACACTCAAGGTTGTATCCCTGCTCTCATGGATTCACTTTTATGTTTCTTCAGTTTCAACTTGAACTTGCATGTGAGCAATTGATGGCTTATACTACAGGTGATCGCTGGTCATGCTGTGCAAGACTAGCACCTAGTTGTCGAAAATACCTTTTCCCAAATACAAAAATCACTTCTGAAGTCTGATCTTTTGTCCATTTGGAAGGTGAAAGTGGCGGGGAGAGCCTTCAAAAGCTCCTGGGAGTGTCTGTGCCTTCAGTACGTTGTACCTGTCGCAACACAAATGTTCAAAAATGAATCTGTTTTTATGATTGTATACTCATTGCTGATTTCAAATGCTGCTAATTGTAGAGCTAATTTCTTTATATTCAAAATATTATTCTTGTGTGCAACACTCCTTACCTGGAGAATCTATCTCATACCCTTAAATGCAGTTTCCATTTTACTAACTTTTATGACTTCAACGAGAAGGACCTTGCCGGTAAGCATGCTGTTCACTCGCCACAGCATTACAATAGTCACTTTTGATTCTCTAATAACTAATGGCATTCTGATTTTTTTTAAAAAGAAAATACTTTTTCCCAACAATGTAAATGTTGTTTATACACATGGGCCTTGCCAGGTGGAATACAAAGAGCACAAATCAACTACGTACATCTGTATAAAGAGGCTGTGGAGCAGCTTGATACCATCAGTCTTCTTTTTGATAGTAGTTCTCAAATTTTCACCCACATCAGTCACCCAGAGGACATTTGGAAACACTAAGTGCTGCCTCGTTGCCCTATTCAAAATATTCATGGCATTGAGTCAATTCTGACTCATAGCGACCCTATAGGACAGAGTGGAACTGCCCCTGTGAGTTTCTGAGAATGTAACTCTTTGTGGGAGTAAAAAGTCTCCTATTTCTTCCATGGAGATGGCTGATGGTTTTGAACTGCTGATCTTATGGTCAGCAGCCCCAATGCATAACCACCACACCCTCGGGGCCCCTACCTTACTTTCGAATGGATAAGACTTGTGCTACAGTGCACGAAGCTGCATGTGTCAGCAGTTCCCAGCTGACGGAAGTTGCTACTCCTGGAACCACACTTTGAGAGTAACTCTTTTTGGGTTTCTTTATGTTTGAGTTGAAGAGAATGAAAAGAGAAAGTAGCTGTTACTTTTGAAGACTTCGTATTTCAGGCAAGGAACGGACATAGGCTTTCTGTAAAAATCCAAGATGCTAGCTCTTTTCATATGCTAAATTAACCTAAGTAGTAGTCGGTTCATACGCCTTTTATAGATGAACACCCACCATACCTAGTGTTAGAAATTTAATCTAAGAACATTACAAAGAGGCAAAGAGCTAATCTCCGACTCCCAAGGTGTATTTTCGTCTATGCGTAGGTACGTTTAGCCTCCAATACAATGATTTTTGGTGCACCCGAAGGAGACCAGCACACCTCACCTAGATTCCTGTGAAGCTGCTCCTTTGTTCCCTGTCATTTCTCTGGACGAGGCAGCTCATGGCAGAGCCGCGTGGCCAATCAGGAAAGAAGCCCACTTTTTAGGTAGCCCCGAGTGGCAAGAGTCTGAGAGGCAGTTACCATCATGACCAAGTGGCCGACACTTACTTCTTTCACAAACCACTGGCAAAAAGCTGGCGCGATCCACTCCCTGGCGTGGATGCCACAGTCCATCCAGATCATCTTCTTGGGGTTACTCGATGGCTGGCTGATCTGGAAGGAACATCGGTGCTCTATTACCAGGCCTCATGATCAGAAACCACAGAGCCCAGTGCAGAGGAACAGCTTTCCACTCCTGTGCCAGTCCCAGTTGGCACGCAGTTCCGGATGATGCCCGGTGACCCCAAGTGGGATGGAGTTGGGCTTTTAGGCCTGTGCTCTTTCAGAGGCATGTGAGATTGTCAGGCCTGTCTTTTGTAAGCCCCGCTGGGTGGAGCTCGATTGTCCACCTCTCAGTTAGTCGTGGTGGGCTGAATGGTTGGTGTCCCCCAGCAACTTCCTGTTTCCTCCAGAAAGCCCCTTCTCTGCTCTTGACTGGCAAGCAGGGGCAAGGGCACAGACTGAGATGCCGCCAACATGACTCTTCCTTCTACAGCTCACGTTCTCCTACCGTCGTAGCTTCAGCAGCTATTCTCGACAACGTGCCAACTGCCCATCACACTCCCACCCCAAAGCCTGTTTTTTTCCCCTTCCATCCTAAATTAGCCCCTAATGATAAACAAAGGCATAAACCCCCTAGCCACCAGCTAAGAAGCTAATTCTATGCAGGGCTTATTGAACCTTAACCCATGGCTGCATTCAGAGATAGCGGCTTCACTACAATTGATGCCACCCAGTGAGGTACCTCTGGGTGTCCCTGCTGCCCCCCATGAGGGTCATACCAGACCATGCAGAATCCTTAGTGCTGTTTATTACTGATTTCAGCCAAATAATACCCACTGCCATTGCTGTCAGGTTGATTCTGACTCATTGCCACCCGATGCAAGGTTCCCCAAATTACAGATCTTTATGGGAGCAGACAAGACAGCTTCATCTTCCTCCTACAGGGCAGCTGGTGGCTTTGAACTGCCAACCTTGAGGTCTAATGCTTCATGTTTACCTGACATTGTCACCAGGGCTAATCCTGAAAAGTACATGATACTCATAGTTAGAAAATGCTTAAGTGTGTTATTGCTTAGATTATGAAAATTAGCAACAGCATTTTTGGTGAAATCTTTCTACATTGAGTTACAATATTGTTAGTTACAGCATTATTAGTAAATGAGCAGGAATCTTTAAAACTTTATTTTCTTTTTTCTTGATTACTATGCCATTCTCAAAAAGTTGTTGAGCTAGGTCCACAAACACTAATTCTTTCAATATGGCAGCAAAAACACCAGTACTGATGGCAGCTCTGACTTGAGCACTTCAGAAGGTTCAGAAGGTGAATACACACGGAGTTGCAGCCTTGTAGGCATATTGAAATGTATAATCGTGGACAAGAAACTTGTGTTTGTCATTGTTACTAAGTACAGGGTTTTCAAACTAAAAATCAGAATCTTCTGCTGAGGCATTGCACACACATTTTATAGACGGCCAATTTTGGGTGCCACCCCTCTGAGAGTGTCTCTTGGAATGGTCTGAACCTTTCCCACCCCACCTCATGATGACACTGCTCAGAGAGGCACAGTACACAGGAGGTAACAGGCAAGATTCAAAGGTAGTTCAAGGAATTTAAATCGTTGTACACATTTCCTGGAACTGTAAAGGTACACAATACACTCTCTGCTGCCATTCTCTTAAACCACCTTCCCTATAGAGACACCTCCCTAGCAGCCAATCCAACCACCTGCCCTCTTTCACATTTGATATTAGTCATGTCCATTGAGATCAGCCCCATTCCAGCACAAATAGCAATAATCCTGTTTGTCAGAGGGGTGGAGTCGATAGGAGAGCATCTTTGATGGAGATGAGACTTGGACCCCTCCCAGGTTTGCCGTAGTCCTGACTCTTTGGGATTTGTACAGGACCTCGTCCAGTGCGGCTCTCTGAGAACTGGCCGGGATGAGAGCTCTCTCCCTCTACCTGTGAACCTTACACATTGTCATAAACACTGGGTGGGTCCATCCTACCAAGGGAACTTTCTCCTTTTAGCCCCACCTATTTTCAAAGCTGTCAGCATAATTCCTAACTCATGCTTATTCTTTTTATGAGTATGTGGATATTAATCTTATATTTATCTTTATTGCTTCCTTATTGTACTTTCAGTTTATTCTTAGCAAGATATTTAGATGTCTTTGGTTGAATCAGTGCAGAGTTTGACAGTTTATCAAAAAGGAGGTAGACATGTGCTTGTGCTTAATATATCAATTGATTGCTCCATCCCTAAGTAAATTCTATTTCAGAGACAATAGTGTGTATGTATTTGTATATAACTCTGAACGTTAGCGGCTGTGCTTTGTAAATTCACATGTCTATAGTAAATTGTGAGAGGGCAATTTATGTAAGTAATTCTACTTAATGCCAAACTTCTTTGAGGGTTTTTTTATTTAGGCTCGGTGAGTCTTGAGCTGGCGGAGAACACAGGCCTTCACAGAGCACAGCTGGACTCTGGCAACCACTAGAATGTCTACATTCCTGTCCAGGCACCAGCCTCAATCCTGCTGGGGACCAGACCGGCACGGCACGAGACAGACATGAGCGCCCTTTCGTCTCACCTTTCTGTTTTAAAATTCTAGCCCCAAGGCCCCATCCATCTATCTCTACTTCTTCTTACCCTGGTTCCACTCAGACGATTAAGCCCTCAAGTCTGAACAGACCTTGAATCATAAAATTTTAACATTTGGCATGGAAATTACCTGAATGACCTCTCTTAACCTTTTCCAGTCTTTTGACTCGAGTTCTGTTGTGGCTTGAACTGTGACCTCTCCCCAAAACAGGTTGAAACCCTACCTTCCAGGCTCTGTGAATTAACCTTATTTGGAAACAGGGTGTTTGAAGATGTTATTGGTTCAGATAACATGAGGTCATTCGGGGAGATGGGTCCTAATCCAATATCAGTAATTTCCTTAAAAAAGAGAAGCGACACAGAGATAGACAGAAAAACGTCCATCTAGGACAGAAGCAAAGATTGTAGCAGTAAGCAGAAGCAACCTGGGGGCTACCACGAACTGGGGAAGCCAACGCAGGATCTTCCTCAGAGGCCTTCAGAAATGATGAGGGCAACTCATGTACAAATGCGCTTGGCACAGAGGATGTAGAGCTGTACCAGCCCACAATGAAATGATAAAAGTAAATAAATTGAATTTTTTAAAAGAAGAAAATGGAGAAAAAGTAAAAAGATTTGTTAAAAAATTTAAGAGCCTTCAGAATGAGTATGGCTCTGCTGACATGCTGAATTGGCGTTCCGAGACTCCAAAACGGTGAGAGCACCCGTTTTTGATGTTTTCAGCCATCCAGGTTGTGGTATTTCACCATGGTAGTCGTCAGAACTTAATACACATCCCCAAACAGTAAATGAATATCCTTGGATTGGAAGGAAAGACCCAGCCAGTCAAATAATCTTTTCACTCACCTTCAAATAATACATAGGCCGGGCCTCATAGGTCATTCCTAGGAAATGCTGTGTCACCACGTCCTTGTACTTCTCACTTATTTGGCTCATCCACTGATAGATCTGAAAAAAGCCGAGGAAAACGGGATCAATAAGATCATAAAATATTGAACTCGGAATTCTGGATTACACGATCTGTGTGGTAAACAAAAGAGAAAACTAAACCAGTGGATTATTATCTTCACCCGTTTTCTTTAAAGATATACTTTGCTTTCAAGCTTCAGGAAAGCCCATTGACCTCTAAATGCGAGAGTTATCAAGAATCAAACAATTGTAATATTCTGCAGAAAACACTTTAGAAACATTGTCCAACAGCACACCCTTCTAAAAGGCCATCAGATTTCACTTCTGTTGGGCCCCCGATCATGCTGGACACTTCAAGTCAGTGTCTTCTACACTCTGAATGGGTCCCCACAGCATGCTTTGTTAAGACAGTCCAAGGTTCCAAGATCAGAGAATAGGGGCTGTGTCCTTCCTAGATCATGCCAGCAGAGACGTCTGACCGAAGCTCAGATTCATCCTTTTAACCTATGGAATAGACCCGAAGAGACGCTGTTGAACTCCAAGTCTGGACCTGGCTGGAAATGAAGGCTCTTACGCCACAGTCTATCAATGAATAGAGCTCGAGGGGTTTGTGGTAAGGGGAGAGATTACAAATGAGAGTACAAATCAAATGAGAGAATTCACAACCATTCGAAAAATTAAGACAGAGTCATCAGCCTGTCACAGGATAGCTCCCACCTTCAATTTCATAGTTGCAGTCTCTGAATGACACTGAGTATGATAAATAATAAAAATTAATGGGGAATAATAATTTACCATTTCAAAAGTGTTGCCTCTTGCTTGACATTCATCTTAGCATGGGATAACTATATGCGAGATACATTATCATAACAATAGTACTATTGAGTGGGAGTATTTTCACGTTAGCTCTATCAACTGACAAGAATCATAGCTCATCACATGGGCATCATGGGTGTTTCTGTGATGGAACTGGGTCACAGGTAGGTGCCTTAGTCTTGGGAAAGTTACAAGTACCAAGTGACAGCAGTAGCAGCTTCATTACTTCATCAGTAACAGTTGATGCTTTGTGCATTCATTTCATTAACTTCTCATAACAATTCTGCAACATTGGTATGGCTATCTCTAGTTCACAGGTGAGAAAACTGGGGGGCAAAAAGGTGAAGTGTCTTGGTCACCGTCACAGAGCAAGCAATTGGCCATGCCCGGTGTGATCCCATCTTTGATACAAGAGCCTCGCTTTCCTGCAGGCTGTCCTGGACTTTGTCCAAAATCATGGACTCTGTAGTTTTTGGGGTCATGGTTGCAAAAGAAAGTTGAATGTTTTTCTTATACTCTTTGAAAAGAAGTCTGGCAGTATGTTACTGTATTCCCTAATGCTGAGAGTACAAACTGGTAAAGTCTGTTTGGAAGACAACTTGATAGTTTATAATGACAAAATTTAAATATGAATATCTCTTAACCCAGAAATTTTATTTTTGGAACTGTATACATCAAAATATTTGTATAAGAATATCAAGATCTATACATGTGGACACATACATATGCATAACTTACTCACTGTTATTGAGTCCCTTCTAATTCATATCTTTAAAAATCACCAAATTTTACAGCGGCACAAATTTTTCTTTGAAAAAAAACAACAGTTTTCCCCATTTAAGAATGGTTGTGTATGTCCCATTCACTCTACAAGAAATATTTCATTTTCAGCTCAATATGATTCATTCAGAAGGCTTCTCTACCTCATGTCTTATACCTGTATACACAGCAACTCTGCCTTGTTCAAACCTTCTAAGAACTTATAAACAAGATTAAAGATGAATTCTCTTCCTGGTTATGGTAGCAAAACTGGCTCAAGGGGTGTTCCCCCCCCCTTTTATTGCAGTTATTTCAAACCACTAGGTTCTATAGCTTCAAAGATGGTTAAGAGTGTGTAGAGATATTTGGGAGTCCCTCAAACTCAGTGCACAGGCTAAGCCTCTCTAGCTCATGGCAGTGTAATGGTTTTGAGTTGGACTGTCAACTGCAAGGCCAGAAGTTCGAAACCACCAGCCACTCGGAGGGAGAAAGATGAGGTTTTCTACTCTCAGAAAGAATTACAGTCTTAAAAGCCCACAGGAGCAGCTCTACCCTGTTCTATAGGGTTACTATACACCAGAATCAACTTAATGGCAGTGAGTTTGATTGTGGTTTCTAGTCCGTGAGCTATAGAGTAGATTGTGATAGCCCTTGATGCTTACCTCCCCAATGGGGTGGTATTGGTTGTAGTTATAGGTCTCCAGGCTGCTTGGAGAATTCCCCATCTTGTCCACATCCTCTTGGCTATGCTTAGGTAGGGTCCTGCAAAGATGAGAAAGTGAGACTGAAGCAACGAAGAACTCAGGAATTGGGAGGGTTGACAGGTTGCTGGAAAAAGTGGTGGGAAACAATGTGCGTAGGATTTGTAGGGCCCAAGCCGGCATCAGAAGTCTTGACTCCTCCACTTACTAATCATAAGACTGTGGATAAAAACACTGAGCCACGCTGCAATGCAGTTTCATCATTCAGGTACAGCTAATCATTCCAGCCTCACTAGGCTAGGATAACGCAACAAGATGTTGTAGATAAAAATATCTCAAAATCTGGAATAGAAATAATAGTGAAGCTGTAATACACTGGAACTTATTATGAGTCAAGCATTGTCTAAGCAAATCTCAGTTGCTTCTTTTCAGAGCTAGAGATTGGAACTCTTTTCACTTCCAGGTCAGAGATGAAGAAGCTGATACAAAGTGTGAGTGGGTTGTAAAGGGTGGTTTTGAGTTGCAGTCGCCTCAACAGCAACAGGTAATGGGTAGTCTGACGGAGAGGAGTTCTGGTGGTACAATGCTTAAGCACACAGCTGCTAACTGAAAAGCTGGTGGTTCAAACCCACCCATCCACCGAGTGGTTCTACAGCTCAAAGACCTGATTATCTGCTCCTATAAAAATTGTAGCTCAGAAAACCCCACGAGGTAGTTCTACCCTGTCCCATGGATTAACTAGGAGTCAAAACATGCTCAACAGCATCTATCTAACAACAGCAGCATTCTGATTAATGACCTTGCCCTTTTAACCAGGACGCTGCATGTAACAGCAAGAACTAATCTGTATGCAAACGTTTATCTTCCAACAAACAGTTTAATAAAAACTACTCAGTATTTCTCCTACGGATGCCACATGCTGTTCTAGGACTTCACACAATGTACTCATGTACATGAAATCATTTTGGTCTCAGGACAACCCTGTGAAGGGTTTTTATGTGTTTAAAAATGATGAAACTGAGTTCCAGAGAGATTAAGTAACTTGCAAAGAGAGGTACAACTAGTGGGCCACCCCATCGTTCCCTCTAGTACGCTCATCTCCCAACCATTGGGACAGAGGAGGCTTTCTTGAAGCAAGGAATGGTTTATTGCCATTGTGAGAGCTCCCAGACCCACTGCCACTGAGTCACTTCCGACGCCTGGCAAGCCTAGATAGGGTTTCTGAGACTAAAGACTTCATCTTTCTCCAGAAAAACCCATCTTATAGTTGGCAGCTCAACACCTACCTCTCCGTGCCACCTGGGCAGCTCAGCATACCAGGGCATGGTACCTGATCATTCATTTACCCAAGAAATATCGACTGAGATTATGTGAAAGGCAGTAATATTGTCTAAGTGCTCTGAGAGCTTTGAAGCCTCTAGGGTACAGTAGTGGTTACACACTGGGCTGCTAACGTCTAGGTCAGCAGTTCAAAGCTATCAGGCAGACGAGGCTTTCTACTCCTGTAAAGCATTACAGTGCTACAAAGCCCACATGGGAGAAGCACACCAGCCTGAGCGATCAGGAGGTGTCAAAGGGATCAGGTATCAGGCATCATCAGAACAAAAAAATCTTACCATGGTGAATGAGGTGGGACAGTGCGGAGTGGAGACCCAAAGCCCATTTGTAGGCCACTGGAGATTCCCTTGCAGATGGGTCTCGGGGAGGAGATGAGCCAGTCAGGGTGCGATGTAGCAATGATGAAAAATAAAACTTTTCTCTAGTTCCTAAATGCTTCCTCCCTTCCTTCCCCCCACTGTCATGATCTGAACTCTTCCTTGCAAGTCTGGCTAGACCAGAGGATGTACACTGGTACAGATAGGAACTGGAAACACAGGAAATCCAGGGCGGATGAGCCCTTCAAGCCACTAGTGTAAGTGGCGATAATGGGAGGTTAAAGGGACAGTGGGTTGGAAAGGGGGAACCAATGACAAGGATCTACATGTGACCACCTCCCTCGGGGACGGACAGAAGAAAAGTGGGTGAAGGGAGACGTCGGACAGGGCAAGATATGACAAAATAATAATTTATAAACTATCAAGGGCTCATGAGGGAGGGGGGAGCAGGGAGGGAGGGGAAAAATGAGGAGCTGATGCCGGGGGCTTAAGTGGAGAGCAAATGTTTTGAGAATGAAGAAGGCAATGAATGTACAAATGTGCTTTATACAATTGATGTATGTATGGATTGTGATAAGAGTTGTATGAGCCCTTAATAAAATGATTTTTTAAAAAAAGAGCTACAGTCTCGGAAACTCCCAGGGCAGTTCTACCCTGTCCTATAGGGTGGCTATGAATCGGATTTGACTTGATAGCCGTAGTGGGGGTTTTGGATTTTGTTTTATTTTTTTCTTTGGGGTACCAGCATTTGGGTAGTGACCCTTCATTGCAAGAAATTGTGTTAGAGATTTAATTGATGTAATGTGTCCAAGTTAGGAGTCATTGGAAATGCTGTTTCAGAGTTGTTATAATTATTGCAACTAATTAAATCTCTTTAGGCGGATCTCCCTGCCAGGACATTCATGGTCTGGCATTGCCCTGTCTCTGTGTCTTCATTCCCGCGCTGGCAAAGTAGTTCTGGAGGAGCAGTAGCACAAAGAAGTTTTATGAGGATTGCTAATCCTCATGATACAACCAGGACTGTTTCTGATACACCGTCAATGCTCAGTACATAGTTTAAAACATAGTAGCCCAAAACAAAGCAAAGAAAAAGTCCTACTTAGCTAGTCGGAAATTGCAAATAAAAACTGTACAGAGAATAATTTTGCCATTCAGCTGGTATTATCCTCAAACAATGCCAAAGTACAAAATGCTTTGATGGGATTAATTAAAATTCGAGTTACATTCATGATATCTGCATAACTCTAATAACTGGATGGACTAAATTTTAATTGTTGTTTTTAGTTAGTCTGGTTCATTTAGCACCGTGTACCACAATTATTTACTCTAATGGAAATCAGTTGCTCTATACAATCTTATTACTTTATCACTTGGGGGTATATTTATGATTGTTAATTTTTACCAGTATTAATGATTTGATATTAATATAAGCTCTTTGTCCTAAAATTATAAATGTTTTATTATATTGTTGAATGAATTTTATGTTATTTACATTGTTCAAATGGAAATCTCATGAGATGGGATTGTCTAAGTGATTTGTTAAACCAATGAAAATGAATTTTAGAAGGAGATTTAAAAATATAAATGTTATTAAAATTGTGGTGGTTGAGAACTATATTTCTCCATGTTACTTGGGGATTCATTTCTAATATTTCCCATTCATTGCATATTTTAAAAAATAAGCAAGAGTGCTTCAGAGCGAGTCATTTCAACATCACAATATATATTGGTGGAGGTAATATATTGAGTCAGATTGATTTATAAAAGATATTGTCATTTTGAAAAGAAAACACATATACCCCCTAGTGTGTTTTAAATTAATAAAAATTCAATTCAGCCCATAACTTTTCAAAGGTACATTTTATGTCTTTATCAACTAATCAGCAAATATATATATTTTAAAATAATACTATTCAACCTTATTGAGAGGTATGTGCTTTTAGTACTAATCAAAGCATTTATGTCACTACCTTATTTAACCTATCAGCAATGGAGTAGTAAGCACTCTTACTACTCTAAGCAAAATCATCATTTGATAATAGTGACAGCAAAGTAGATTTCTTTCTTATAGAGTTTAAAGTATATTTAGGAGTGAAGATATGAACACACAAGAAGCAAAGTAACAGCCATTAAACCACAAGGCATGTTGTATGATAAGATAGTGCGTGATAAACTGCCAATTAAATGGTACACTACATGCGACGAAGTAGGAGAGGGAGAATTTTGTACTTAAGAATAGACAATAATCATTGTTAATATTTCACCAGCAAATATTCATGCCAGGAAGTTTTAATAATGAACTCAAAAAAATGAAAGATCCCACCACTATGGAAGCCATTTCTGACCCACAGTGACCCTACAGAACAGAGGACCACTACCCTGTGGGTTTCGAAGACTTTACATCTTCACGGAACTAGAAAGCCTCATCTTTCTCTTTTGGAGCAGCTGATGGTTTCAAACTACCAACCTTGTGGTTAGCCCAGGGCATAACCCACGACACCATCAAGGATCCTATTTTGTATATAGTAACTCATCCAGTCCTGAGAGCAGCCTTTGTTTTTCACTTCCTGAAGACTTCCTTGAACAGGTTAAATTATACTTTTCTTATATCCTAAAAAGTATGTACTTATGAGTCTACTTTTATCTGTTTCTGATCTGAACTACCTGGGATCACCACTTGTTTAAGGACTCAACTACTAACCAAAAGGCTGGTCTTTCGAATCCACCCAGAGGTGCCTCAGAAGAAAGGTCTGATGGGATACACCCAAAGGATCACAGCCACGGAAAATGCCAGGGAGCAGTTTGACTCTGACCCCTGTGGCTTTGTCATGAGTCTGAGTCAACTCCGGGGCTGCAAACATGGTTTGGCGGTTGATCTGGCATGCAGAGGATAAGAAATGAGTTGGTATTATAGTCACTAGAAAAGAATCCTGTGGAAGCAGATTGCCATATCTTTCTCCCGCAGAGCAACTGGTGTTTTCCAATGACTGATTTTTCAGTTAAGAGATGAGAGCGTTAATCACTGTTCCATGAGGGGGTCTCCTTTCACAATATACTGTTAGTGTTGTTGTTAGTTGCTGCCCAGTTGGTCCCAACTCATACCAACTCCTATGCACAGTGAATGAAACACTGCCGGGTCATGCACCATTCTCAAAATTGTCAATGTTTGATCCCATTTTTGCAACTACTTGGTCAACTCATATAATTGAGGGTGTTCCTCTTTCTCACTCTTCCACTCCCCCTTATTTTACCAAGCATGCTGTCCTTTTCCAGAGACCGCTCCTTCCTGGTAAGATGTCCAAGGAATGTGAGACAGACTCTTGCCATACTTGCCTTTAGGGAGCCTTCTGGCTGTCCTTCTTTCAAGACCGATTTGTTTGTTCTTCTGGCAGTTCTTTGCACTTTC